CGGGACAGTTGAACCGACCATCAGTAAACGGCGCCACCACGATCGTGCTCTGGCACACAATCATGTATGCATGCACACAAATAGCCCAGGGCTAAAAAATGGGAAACTAAGCGACTCGAGGTTGCGTCGTTGTGACGACAGCACGCGTGACAGGCATATCAGAAGGGGTATATTGTGTACATGCATGTGCATGTGAATACGCGAGCATGTGAAGAGATACGATAAGATGTGTGTGTGTGTGTTTGTGTGCGCGCACACTTGTGTACAAAGCGGGTCACGTGCCGGATTCCGAAACGAGTAAGAGCTGAGACCTCCGTGGGCAGCCCACCTCTGAGGTGGGGAATATCGACAGGATGCTTAGACTGTGGACAAACTATTGCCGTGCCACAACTGCCATTGTGTTGGGGGCGTACCAACAGAAGCCCATACGCAACACTGCAATGTGTTTATTCTGTGTGCTTTGTAAGAGGAAAGCAAATAGAAGCACTGTCTGGGATTCCGTGTGACACCACTACCAGGTGGGGAGACTTTAAGGTGGCTTATCTATTGGCAGAGCGCTCAAATGAGGCTATAGCCAATGTGGGTATGAAGACCAAGCTAGTTTGGTCACAGTCTGGGTTGGTATGAGTTCGTTTTCGTAGATTTCTTGGGCTGGCAGAAAGATCTTTTGGAACGTACCCAGCCCCACGTTATCTGGTATAGTAGTCGAGGCAATTTCCAACACCGAACCAATGACGCTTACTCAGTAGCATTAATAGTATCGTCAGTGTGAAACACCAAATTTGGGACCGAGTTCCAATTTTTCAGTGACAAATCACTCGCTGACATCCTTAAGAGCAGGCTTATAGGCCTATTTTTTTGGTAGAGACATGGATACAGCTAAAAGGTAACAATTCATATAGTCTTCACTGTTGAGCAAGCAACCAAGGCTTCATCAAAGTAAGAGAAGGGAAACAGTCCATTCCCCAAAGTCTTTCTAATGGAGAAGACTTGCTTCGAAAGGTTTAAACTATCAGAATATGCCCTAAATCAACAAAAATGTTAGGCTTTTGGGGGGTTTGGCGAAGTAGACTCAAGTGAGCACGCAGTGGGAAATTCAGCCTGTCTCACATCTGAACGAGAGCCACTTAAGTCAAGACTTGGGCCTCTGGACGTTGACGGTAGACAAATAAAGACATGCAAATAATTCGTAAGCATGAAAGTTCGAAGGTGTACGTGACAAGTAGGCCAAAGAATCAGGGCCTTGATACCGTAATGCCTGCATGAAGTACAGTGCCAAAGGGAACAATTCGCGGGAAGGCGAAAAGGAACGACCTCTTCATCGACTG